ATATCACCTCTAGATTAGGATGAGTTGTTGCGCTTGATCAGATTCGTTAATGATTAAATGAAGATGTTCTGCGTGAAATTGTCAAAGTATATTGTAATGCCTCCGGTAAATTTAAAAAAAAATACTTCATTGAGCGGCTGCAGTCACGGAACGCACTACAACCAGATCGAAAGATGCCAAAAAATGAAACTAACACCTATCGAAGGGCAAAACCGGATTTGGCGCAGGCGCACGAGCGCAATAGACACCGCAATCGAGAACAACAGAGGAATGCCTGTTGATTGTTTGCATTGCATTTTCACGAAGTTGTCGAATTGCTGACATTCGTTCCAGGATTGACAACATCCCGGGAATTTGCTGACTATCTTCCAGAACATAGCAGTATAACTCCTGCAAACAACCACAACCACCATTCCCACCTGGAATTTCGCCAATATTGCAACTGATACTTACTCCTCTAATCGCTTTATTCCTTCTGCTATGGTGGAAACTAATTTAGAATTGACTTAATACATAAACAGAGAGTTAAAACCAGCAACAGCTAATCAACAGGTCAAATCACTTCGGCCGCACCGGACACACTGACCACTCATCTTTTTGCCGGTCATTCTACTAGTTTATTCCAGGAGCGATGTATGCCCGTATCTAAATTGTATTTGTTGCCCTTTTCCCTACTCCTTTCTTAATCACATCTTAGTTACCAAAGAGGAATCGTAAATCCTAAAACAAATTTCGCTAACAGAACCTACAGTCTCAACTGATTGGAGCCGCCATGACTGCTGCACAGAAAGAAATTTAAAAAAAAAAAAGAACGCACCTCCACAAAACTGTTGGAAACCGGGTCAAGAAAAAATCGCAAACCAAGAATCTGCACCCAAAAATCCAGAAAGGCAACTACTCGTCGTTTTGCGACAATTTTATGCTCGAAATCATCTAGCGGCAGTGTGATATCGGTTCGAACCTGCGATAAAAAATGAGAATTAGAAATTATGGATTTTTCAGCCCCACTATTAAAAAAATTTTACAGTAGTTTCATGGTTCTGAAAAAACTTATCATCCAGATGTAAATACAGTGCTTTTTGAGTATTTTTACATAAAGAGCAAAAACGCAACTATCCAGAAATTGTCGATGTGCGAATGTATGCGTGTATGTATGTGTAAATGTTTGTATGTGTATGTGTGTGCACGTGTGTGTATGTAGGCGGAGGGATTAGGAGGAGGGAGGGGGAGGGGATGATCAGGAAGCTCGGATTTCAAAAATGCTCTCAGCCCACGTGCAGTCCAAACAGCTTAAAATCAGCGTTCAATTACATATGAGTCCCTCATACCGACGCCTACAAAAATTCATGAAAATTTTTTGGCGGGAAAGCGGTGCTGAGTCGAAGGAAATTTGCAGAATGACCTCTGTTGTGTAGAAGTAGCGTCAAGCGCAGTAAGACTGGGAAATTAATTTTAGGCTACTTGCCCTACAATTAATTGTCTGAAAATGCAGTTTTATTTTCAGCATTCCAAACTTATTTGTTCTCGATTTATAGCAGTGATCTAATTACGTCTCTAGGGTCCTGAGGTAGGACGCTAAATGGCATCAAACGCGTTTTCAGTACTGCAGATCTGCACAGGTCGAAAAATGCGTTTTCACTTTTAGTCTTCATAGCTTTTGTAGTTCATTACTTCATATATACCGAGATAACACGGACACATAGCCAGCAGCCTATTCTCATCGCAATGCATTTTAAATTATAAAAAAAAAAAATGCAAAAAATTTAATTAG